CCTTACTATTGGCCACCATTTAGTGGGAAGATGAGATCCAAGATTATCAATTATATAAATAATATCAGTATATGGCTGCAATTAATGAGAACATATTTACACTACAACTTTCAGTTTTCCCTGTCATACTGTGTGGAAATAATGGAATTGTAGTCCAAAAATAACTTTTCCAAGTTCTAAATGAGATATCATGTGTATTCAGGAGAGACCATGTGCTCAAATAACTATGAATTTAACAGTATGATCTGAAAGTATTGTACAATTACACCTGTATCTATTCTGGAAAAAAGCTAGCATTTAGAGATATGTGTGCCACATTATGTGAATATGTAATGTGTATCAGAAGAGTACCTTTGTGCTTTGGAAATGTGAGAAGTTTAAAATATTAACAGCATGAATCTATAATCAATTTATATTGTAAGCAGAAAAGTACAGAGCACAGCAGATGCAGAGGTAAATAAATGAACTCTTCTGGATGGCAGCTGCCCAGATTTTAATGTGCCTTACAAAACAATACTGCTGAGACTCAATTAAAGCCATTACAATAATTAGTAAATTACTGTAAGGAAACTAGCTTAAAGATGTTATGAGCTGTGGACCCCTGTAATAATGGCAGTTCTAAATTTTTAGTACAGCTAGTTTTCTTTTCCAGTTCAGGCTCTTTCTCCTTCTATGAAGGCATGGTGGCTTAATGACTATTCATCCTTTCACATTGGGGAGGAAATACTAACTACAGAATGAAAGAGTATGTGTACTGGCAAGATCATTAGCTTGAATAAATGTGACAGCTGAGCTGCACCAGAAATACCACAGTTAGCGGTAAGCACAAACTGCATGTTGGGGTGAAAAGTACTGTAATTACAAAGGATGAGGTGGGGAGTGAGACACAACGGAGGCGTCTCAGTTTTTATCTTCAAAGAAATCGATAGCAGTTCAGACTGCTACTTTACACAGGAGTAGAGCTAGGTGTATGAAAGAGCTTATTGATTTGCCTGAGTGATGTTATTGTAGTGAATAATGGACTGGAAGAGAAAAAGGCTTGTAAATGCAAAGCAATCTTTTCCAGGATATCTGTATTTATTTATCTAGCTACCTCTTGTTGGTTGCATGTGTGAGAGAAGGACACTGCCTGTTTGAGTATTCTTGTGCTTGTTTATTCAGGCTGACTTAGAATATCATTTTCCAGTTACTGGTATTTTGCTGGACAAAGTTACCCAATCATTTTAACTCAGCCCTTTCAGCCTGCAAAGTATGTCTTTAACTTCTTAAACTATCTTCCCAAGCGTAAGAAAATGAAATTATTGTTTAACATGAATGTCTCAGTGTTACATTTTAGCTCCTGCTGTATAAATCCAGGGCGTGTGTGGGTATACAGCTGAATGCACCTGGATTAGTCTATGTGGTCATGTACTTACAAGTCATTTTTGACTTATGGTGTCCCTATGGTTAACCTATCATGGGGTTTTCTTGGCAAGATTTGTTCAAAGGGGGCTTGCTATGGTCTTCATCTAGGACTTGCCAACAGCTGAATGGCTATTCAGAGCTTGGTTTCCTAGAATTCCACTCCAATGTTCCAACTGTACTGGCTGGCCTCTCTACCTCCTTCAAATGTATGGACATTTGTGAAATGGCAATAATCTGTAATTGAAATGGACATGCTACCAAGCACCATAAAGTGTCCGCCTTTGCCACACCAGTCTGTTGTCTTGCAGCAACTATGTTACAGAAGCAAATGGAAACATATAGTTATTGAAACATTCACTATCATGCTTCTCTGTGATTGGACTATGGTATTGCTTTGGCAAAACTTAGTTCCATGATCTTCTGCATCTCTTTGCTAAACCCCCCTTCCTTTTGCAATTGCTCAATTATGAACAAGAAAAGAGAGAGAAAGAAAAAAAATGAAAGAAAAGAAAAATGGAGGAAAATCAATCTCAACCTGCCTAGGAATAGTAAGAGGGAGAGGTAGAGAGAATGATAATTATGCCAATTCATGCCACATGACTGCCGGAAGATCAGAATTGCAGTAGAATGAACCCATTGCAACACTGGAACAGAGCAATGTTTGGAGCTATTTTGAGCCATTTCCATCAATACAAACAGGTGATCCAATAATCATTGAAATGCAAAACAGCAATGAGAGAGGTGCAGTGTTGATTAATAAGTACAGCCAAACAGACTATTATCCTACTGAAATTGTGATTAAGTAGGCTTGTGTAAAGTTCAACTGTGTAAAATGTGTATTATGAGTTCCTCAGCCACCAGAGAGTCAATGCATTGTCTTTAGCAAGTTACTTTAAGATTTTTAAGCCACAAGGAAGGGATTAAAAACAAGCAAACAAATGATCAGCAAGAGAGATATTGGGAGAAGTCATACTGAAGCCAAAAGCAAGAATGAGGTAGGCAAAAGAGAATGCCTTGGCAGGAAAAATTGCCTAAGCAAGCAGAACTAAGTAGAACCAGGTGCTCCATTTCCTCACAAAAAAGGAACTAAGTATAAACAAGAAAAGATGGAGGAAAACAACATATTCACATTGAGGAGGGTCTGTTTTTAGAGCAAGGAATGTAGTCAGAGAGACTACATTCTGATATTGTGTAGTGCAGCTAACATGTCTCTTCTGTGACCCCATCCACTTGATATCTGATACTACTGGAAAGAGGAGGAAACTGGGTTCTTGGGAGACTCTGGTATAATTAGTGTTGCTAGAGTGGGAACTGGACAGAATTATTTAAAAGTTGTGTAGAAGAGAGAATTTCAGCTTGTCATATAGCAAAGTAACAAGCAGCACCTGTTGATAACCTGTTCCACACAGCCATTAAGGGTACACAGGCCCTGTCCAGTTTTCACTCTGGCTACTCGAGACATGGTGCTTTGCTTCACCAAAGTGATAGCAAGTAGATTTGATCTGATGTGCCTTGCAGATGTTTTCCTCTTTGAAGGTGGAGGAAGGGATGGGACGATAAGCAAACCTTGACTTGATCCAAATCAGTAGGGAGGAGCTGATTACTAGAATTACAGTAATTGGTACTTTAGGGGACAGTGACCATATAATGGTCTAACTCATGATTGTATGATGATTCATCATACATAAAATATGGGTAATCAAGATGAACCATGAATTTCAGGAAAGCTGATTTTATTGAGCACAGAGAGATAGCCCATAAATCCCTTATTAGGATTCTGTTCCTGATAGTGGGACACATGAAGTCACTGCTGACACTGTTCTGCTGTCTGAAATGGGAGATTCCCCTGCCATATGGGAGGGCTTAACATGAATAAAAGTTTGTCAAGCTGTCATAAGCTAATTTGGCTGTTCATACTGTCTTGTTTCTTTATTACTAGGTGTAATTAGGATTGTTATGCTCTTTTTGTTTCTTATTTGAAAACACATATGGGGGACCCAACTCTGATAGAGCTGGGCAGTAGGCCTTCAGCTTTTGGTCCCTTTTGTGTAAATCTCGTATTTTTGTAATCTGCACCATGAAAAAAAAAACCTATTTGCCCAGTAGCTCTAATAAAATATCATTGCCATGATAAGCTAAAGATGTAATATGTGTTAGAGGTAGTACTTAGTCTAGCTTTGAGCAGCACCAGATTGCAGAAATGAATTTCACCAGACCACTTTGAACAACAACTTCATTTTGAGGAAAAGGAATCAAACCAGGAGTGCTGGGTTTTGCACATATTCAAAGTGGGAGAGAGAAAAAGAGCCAGTCCAACAGATCCGTAGCCATAAAGTATGGCTGATGGATCTTTCTAGCAGGACAGAGCAAGACTACAAAGTTTACTAGTAAATGCACCCTTGAGGTATACAGACATTATTAAAGAGAAGCTAAGAAGGTCAGCATGAAACTATATACTTTTCCACCACTATTTGTTTGGTGTGTGTACATGTGTGTATCCTGAAATAGAGAGATTATCACTTCATGTTCGCTTGGAGACAGCACAGGTATTAAATTCAACAATCCCCTTTTTTGCAGCATCTACAATACATAATAGTAATAATAATGGAATACCTATAGGGCAGTTATGATTCCAAACCATAATACTATGCAGTCTCTCCCAAAATTACTACCTAAATGGTTTTCCTTTTTCAAATGCACAAGGAATGCACATGCCTGACTAAATATAATCTGGTAATATAAAACATAATGTGCTTGAAATTGCATAAATGTCTTTTTCCTGATAATTTATCATAATGACTCATTCAAATCAGTGGAGTTATATGTACATTAGCTCTTCTACCTCCAAGACATACTTTGGAACATACTTATTTTTATGCAGTGTTTCTAAAGTCTTTCAAAAGTCTTTTTGCTTTGCTCTCTAAGAAGCTATTGAAATACAAACTGTTTTACAAGATAGCTGCCAATAATGTAAGGAAATGTTGTTACTTCCTGCTATGTAATTTGAATTTTCATATTTCTGAGGTGTTCAAGTTACCACCTCAAAGTTTCTGAAAATTATAATTTGTAAGAAAATCATATATATATATATATATATATATATATATATATATATATATATATACACACTGCACATATATAATGTAAACAAATTTGCAAATGGATGTATAAATGGGATGAAACTGACTCATCAATTAACACATGCAAAACTGGCACAAATAGAAATATTCTGGTCTGTGCATATCTACCCAAGGCAAGTATCTAATGGCATTTCCAGGCCATTTTTTTAGTGCAGTAGCACTCAAGATTCACAGGTTCCATGGAAACCTTTTCAGATCTCATAAACATTTCAGAATTCATACATCCACTTCTAGATGGGGGAAATTAATGGATGTAGCAAATCAGTGTAAGTGGCACAATTAAAATGAGTTATTTGCTATGCAAAACCCAATGCAAATTTTCCTGTCATTTGAAGGGAATATCACCTTCTGTATCCAGAGTTTTTTGTTTGTTTTGTTTTTGGCGGGGGTGACTATATTCTTGCCCTCTCCCAAATCCCAATGTCAGCAGAGCAGCATTAAGGTAGTTCCACTTACTCTGCATACAAAGCCCATCTGTGCAGTTCTTAGACTGCAGAACAAGACCATCGCAGTCCTTGCCACCATTCTTTGGGGCTGGTGATGTGCATTCCCTTCTCCGCCAGTGGGTACATTCAGTTCCACATGTAGACCATTTACTCCAAGCTGTCCACCTTCCATCCACTGTAACCAAAAATAAATAAATAAAGACAAAATGGTGAGTGGAGGGAAGGGGAGATTAAAATAAAGGTAAGATGTGAATTTGTTGTGTTTGAAGAGTTGTAAACTATCAAAGACATCAAATACTTTCCCCAGGGCTCAATCTTTTCCCTTTTCCCTCATGCTATTTCACACCTACACAAAACAGCTGGGAGAGGTTACCCCGAGTTTTCCCGTCACAAATCACTGGTATGCTGATGATACCCAGCTTTAATTCCAAGGCAACTGTCCCTGTGCTAAACTGATGCCTGGCAGTTGTAATAGACTGGATTGGGCAAACAGACTGAATCTTAATTCAGAATAGACAGAGGTACTCTTGATCAATCAAAAGACAGATCTGGAAACAGAGACGCAGCCGTTCTTAAATGAGATTATCCGCCTCCATTACCACCACCCAACATGTAGGTTTGCAATTTCAGGAAACTTCTGGATTCAGCCCTGACCCTGAAAACCCAAGGTTTAGTAGTGACCAAGGTAGTGTAGTTAAAGCTGGCTGTCAACTGTACCCATTCCTGGAGATGTTGGATATGGCCATGCTGTACATGCCTTAGTTACATCATCCTGTTTGGATTACTATAATGTGATCTATGTGAGACTGCCTTTGAAAAGTACTCAGTAATGTCATTTGGCCCAAATAGTTGTGGTCCATTTGTTAACTGGGGTTGGCTACTCCACTGCCTACCAGTCCATTTTTGGGCACAACTCAAAATGCTGGTTATGATCTATAAAGCCCTATATGGCTTTGAAGGACCATATTTCCCTTTATGGACCAATTATTAGATAACCTAGAGAGGAATATTGATGGGTACTAATAAGAAGGCCTTCTACTTTGCTTCTGCGGAGGCAGGTAAAACATTTCTGTTCTGTTGGGCTGTTAATGCTGTGTCGTGCTGTTATGAAGGATTTAAAGGGGTTTTTGTTCATATTATTAAGTAGAATAGCTGAATTTAGAAACTGTATAATTGTTTTAATTGTATCGTTATACTTTTACTCTATTTTTTTATTGTTATAATCTGTATTATTTTTAGTATGTTGTTAGCTGCTATAAATTCCATTATGAGGAGAAAGGCAGGATAATAATAATAATAATAATAATAATAATAATAATAGCAATAATAATAATAATAATAATAATGTCTTGCTATTCAAAACAGACTAGATGGATAAAAATTATCTCTACTTTAGCTAGGAAAGAAAAGACCTCAGCAATTCCAAAGGATGACACTTCTGGTCACACTAATTTATGGGCCACTTGCCTAGATCAAGAAACAGCCTGAATTTTTGGAATGCAGTGTTGTGATGAAGCCTCAGGAGGAATTCTTGGCAGTTCTGTCTCCAAGGGACAAAAATCAAATTCCATGCTGAGAGTTGCCAGTCTATGTACAACTGCAATGCCAACTATGAATACCCAGGAGACACTCTGGACTTCAATCCTGACATCATTGAATTCATTGAGGGAAGGATCAGGGGAATGCTGTACCCTCCTGTCATTTCAAAGTGTTTCTTGACTTTAACAAATGCTTGCAGCATGCAGAAAAAGGATGCTGAATAGCAAACTGCAGGACTAACATCTTCATTAGAGTTTGCAGTGATAGTTTAACAATTTAGAGTTAATGTGAATTACATTGGTCTATATCCAGTTGTTAGTCCCAGCTAGAGTAGATTCACTGAATAAATAAGTTAAACCTATTCTGTTATTCTAATTGGAAGTAACAGTAGGATTCAGGCCATAATACTACACAATCTTCATTTACATTGAACTCAAATACTCAATTTGGTTCAGTAAACATGAGAACCAATTAGAAGTGGAAATATCCATGTTTTCTCTGCATAACTGTGGCCCTCCAGGTGTGGTTCTCCAACTCCACGTTCTTCCAGACAGGGCCCAAAATGGGGGCCCTGTTGGACTTTTACCTGAGGTGTTTAAATTGCACCTCAGGTAAAAGAGGATTCATTCATGACAAAGCAGGAAAACCCTGCTTTGTTCTGAATTATTTAGACACCCCAGTAGACCCAGGCCTTCCTAAAAGACCCAGATTGAATGTCTATCCCCACAGCCCAATTCGCTTCTTCAGTCTTGAGAAGCAAAGAGGGAACCCACCCTCTCTCCAACTTCCCCCCCACCCCCAGAAGCCCTTGAAATAAGAAGAAACCGGGTGCCTGGCACATAGAAATGCTGTGCCAGTTTTTTTTTTTTGGGGGGGGGGGGCAATTGTGCCTCCCCCTGTCTTCTGGCGCATCATTTCTAAGTGCTAGGAGCCCTCATGGTGCCCGATAAATTTATACTTATTTTAAGGGCTTTGAGGGTGGGTTTGGTGGCCCCATGCCAGCATGGAAGTTACCGTGCTGGTATGGGAACACCAACCAGGAAAGCCCAGTTGTTTTGGACAGGGCACATTGAGACTTAAACTCACTTCAGAGCGGGTTACTTTAAGCCACTCTGAAGTGGGTTTAAGCCCTGTCTGGAAGGACCATCCCAGAATCCGTAGCCAGCTTATCCAAGGATGAAGAATACTGGAAGTTGAAGTCCAAAACACCTGGAGGACCTCAGGTTGTGCAGGCCTGCTGTACTGTGCTGGGAAAATGCTCCATATATTAGCTTAGAATTCATCCATTCCACCACAATGGAAAACCCAAAGCTACATTTAAAGTTTCAGGAGCCTTCTTAAGACTTCACTATGTCATCAGGAGAGTGAAACATTGTAGCACTCTATTCCACGCTTTCAGGTGCTTTTATATCATGTAACATATCTAAAGTATCACATTCCCTCAAGTTATTTTTGACTTATGGCAACCTTAAGCCAAAACTATCATGGGGATTTCATGGTAAGATTTGTTCTTTTCCCTCTTCTGAAACTGAGAGAGTATGGCTTGCCTCAGATCACCCAGTGGAGTTCCACAGTTGAGTTGGGATTTGAACACCAATCTCCAGAGTCATAGTCCAATGCTCTAAACACTACACAACAGCAAGGATGACACTCTATTAGGTGAATAGGCAAGTTGAATGCCGGGTCAGTCCAAAACATAATCTCAATCAGTCACAACTTAATTGTGGATGAAAGGGCTGACTAAGGGAGCTTGGATGAATGTCTTTCTGTAATTCTGAGTACTGAGTCCCTTTCTATATAAAGCTTTTTTTTTTTGGAGGTCGGGGGGCAGGGAGAAAGTTCCTCAGTCTTAATTTTCTTCCTCCTTTGTACAGTTGGACATTTTTTAGCACCATCAACACTGGGAGGATGGTGGTTGGGATAGGGAAAGGAACAGATTCGGTGATGAGAATCCCAAAATTGTTTTAGAGCAGCTTTCTGCAACTGGAAGCTTCCAAATGTTAGAAAACAATGCTCCATAAACCATCACTTGTGAGGAGCCAGAAGTTATGATTTTTTTTCTAGTGTCAAAGACCAGTATTGCACTTGTGTGCATTGACTATAATTGTTTCATTCTGTCTGGGAACTCTCCAGGGTCTACAAGTTGATAGCTCGTAGACTTTCATCCAAATGCTTCAGGCCATATTTTTTAACTTTACTAACCCTTGCTTCCCCCAATTAACTGAGCTTACTAATATGTATTTGGCTCTGTATGATTCTTCATACTTAAATTCCATCTTATTTCCAGAGATTTCAACAGATCTGAGGTTTAAGTCTCTTAAAATGTTGAGCTTTGAAATGTTACGTAAATGCTCAGAATTACAGAGGATTGAGATGATGGGAAAGGTTTAATGCCACAATAGGAATTAATTTCACTGCTATTTGGGATATTTATATAACACAAGGCATTTATTTGTCAGTGGAGAAGGGGGGGGGAGAACAGAGAGCAAAGAAAGAATTCATATCTAAAAAGGTTTATTTTTGAAAAATAAGATAGCAACCAAATGCAGGCAAATAGATCATCAAAATGTGTAATATACCTGGACATAGGGTGGTACATGCTATTTTCTGTAAATTTTGGCCTTCACAGAAGGAACCCCCATTGAGTGGAGCAGGGTTGGTGCAGGTTCTTGTACGCTTCTGAGAACCTTTTCCACAACGGCTGTTACAAACTGACCATTCAGTCCAAGTTGACCATCCTCCATTGACTGAGAAGTGAAAGAAACAAAGATACTTAAGTAAGAACAGTCAATTAAGCAAGCATTGGCATCTTACTGATATACCATATATACTCATGTATAACTTGACCTCAGGGCAGGTTTGGGGACCAAATTATGGATTTTGATGTGACCTGTGAATAAGTTGAGAGTTATTCCACAGAGAGGGGAAGGCACTAATGCCACTGCCACCATTTCCCCACTGAGGCTGTTGAAAAGGCCAGAAGCGATTCTGGATGATGTATTGGGGATCACTAGGTCTTTCTCTTGCTTTTTGCCATTCTACTCAGAGAAGGGGATAGTATGTATATGTATGTATGTATGTATGTATGTATGTGTATATATATATATATATATATATATATATATATATATATATATATGTATATATATATATATATATATATATATAAGGGTTAAGGTACAGCAGTTACACTGATCAATGGATAAATCGGTTCATGCTCTTGGGGTTGATTTTTTTTTCATTAAAAATTTCTAGAGTATAAGGTAGCGCAGTGGGTTAAACCACTGAGCTGCTGAACTTGTTGACCAAATGGTCGGCAGATCAAATCTGGGAAGCGGGGTAAGCTCCCATTGTTAGCCCCAGCTTTTGCCAACTTAGCAGTTTGAAAACATGCTAATGTAAGTAGATCAATAGGTACAGCTTTTGTGGAAAGGTAACAGTGCTCCATGCAGTCATGCTGGCCACATGACTTTGGAGATGTTTACGGACAACCACCGGCTCTTTGGCTTAGAAATTGAGATGAGCACTATCCCCCAGAGTCAGACACAACTAGACTTAATGTCAGGAGAAACCTTCACCTTTACTACAGGGTCATGCTTTTATGGTTTCATACACTGTTGGATTTTCCTGCTAGCCTCTCCAATAAAGCAAATGTAAACATTCAAATATTGCTGATGCTTAATCACTATACTTAACTGTATTCATGAATTGGCATTTTACTTAAGCTCTTCTCCACTGTATGCCATGCAATTTCCTTCTTGATTTCCCACTGACAGCTAAACTATTCAGTAAAGTGTATATATTTCAGGCAACTATCCAGCCAATCTTAAATTCTCACAACAGAATGTTTATTTTTATTTCAGTTGGTACATGCAACAGAGACAGGTAAGAATGGATTCTAAAGAAATGAATATAAGTATACAAATGAGCAAGAAGGTAGCAAGATTTTGGCCTTCCAGATATTCTAGCCTACAACTTCTATCATTCCTTCTGCATAATCAATAATAAAAGATTTGTAGGAAGCATCATCCAGAATATCTGGAGGTCCAAAGTTTTCACCATCTCTTTCTTAGTAGATGTATTAACTTTGTTATCTTAATTACCCTTTGTTGTGTATCAAATTACCAAATTATGTAGCTTTCTCTTCTCTTTTATTGCTATTTGCTTCATGTATGGCTTGTAGCATGCTTGAAGTAGGCTTGCTTATTCATATTGAAATGCAGACTTGTCCACATTGCTCTGGAACATAAGGCATCCTTCCAGATTGCACAGATGGGCTACACCATTACTATGAGCAAGGCTATTTATTGTACTGATGGAAATTCACAAAACAAATAAGCAAATATTGTACTTGCCATGTGACAAAAGCCTACTGAGAACCCTGAAGGCTGGCCTGTCTTAGCCTATAGGCAGTCAACAGCAGAAATTAATGTGTTCACACATGGACAAAAGAAGCCTCCAGCTTCCTTTCTCTCGGTTGTTTATCTCATTGCATCTCTTTCCTTAGCAGTTAATTTTCCACCCGGCTTCCAACTCCTAAGGAGCCCTCAGATTTCTCAGTTGCCAAGGTGCTCCCATATGGTGAGTATAATGTGCACTTCAGTTCTAATTTTATGCCGGATAAATGCATCCAGGATGCTTATTCCCGCTGCATGTTTTAAAGCCTTGGCAAGTGAAACAAAGTTTGAAGTCATGGGTAGGTTCCTGAGGGCCTGACACTCCACAGGCACAAGAAGAATGAGACATTGAACATGAGTATAATTTATTAAGCATCATAATTTATTCAGTGAAAGTAAAATCAAACATATTATTTATTTTCATGTTCTATGTTCTATTCCAGAGTCCTTTGCCAACGTTTTAACTGAAACAGGTCCTGTTAAATATATAGTATTTTTTTATGCAACTCAACAGATGAACTGTTGTGTCATTCTCTTTTTGGAATGGTTGTCTTTCCTCCTTTTCTTTTTAAAATATAGTGCTAAATTTTTAATACACATTAAAATTGGTGCTAGAAAGCTTGTACAAGTCCCTAACTCTCTCCACATTCCTCACATTGGTTCAGCAAAGGACAATGCATTTTCAGTACCTAGTCAAGCATTGAGAAAAGAATGGGGAGAAAGAGGGAGAAGAAGGTAAATTTGCTCATGTTCATGTATGCCTTGTTCTTTCAGTCTGAATTGCATAGTGCTTATTTATGGTAGCATTATATCAAAAATACTGCCATGTTGTTACATGTCTCTGTTGCATCAGGTCTATTCAACCAATTTCCTATATAAAATGGAATTGAAGTTCCTCATTATGATTTCGCTGAAGCAACTGCTTACATTTAAACCAACGGATACCCTGGCTTTGAAAGGAAGGTGAAAGCCCAATTGGTTTTGTAATTAAACTAATGACAATAAAATACTCCTAAAACATTAGCTATTCTGTTATAAAAGCAAGACCATATTCTAACAATTATTTTTACCTTAATAGACAATAAAAGTCATATTATACACTGCTCCAGTCACATGTAACAAACCAGGAGACTTGTCTATGTTGGCTTGAAGCTCCACACAGGAGATATTAATACATATAGATGCTTGATAAATGGACCCACAGGACTGTATGAAAATTTTAATATTATTGGCACTTGCAAACAACAATAATGTTTTGAAATAAAGAGGGTTATGGCCCTTTATTTTAGGGAACAAAAGAATATCCAAGACTACTTGATGAATAATTAAAAATACTATTTCTTGAGTCTCTGACAAGAAAAATCATTGATTGATAAGAATCTTTGCAGTTTAAGTCTTGTTTTGCACAAAAATGATGCATTGCTGTGCGTAAGTAACAGTGCTTCCTGCAAATAAATGTTCTTCTCTGCACAACATACCATATGTAAAATTTGTGCAGAACAAGGCTCCAATGACAAAATCTTCTCCCAAATGAATTGGTGTAGAAATACTATTTTCAGTCCTAGAGAGAAAATGCCAAAAACCCTCCACAAAACAAAATAAAACCCCCATGTCTATCTTGAGTAGAATATGTTCCCAACAGCAATCTAAAAACGACGAAGTTTTGAAGACTTTCTCACTGAAAACACTAAAAATACTAGCGTCTTCTTTTGAGAATAAAATTACTTTGTTAGAGGTCTAAATGATGGATATATAGATTTTAGAGGGCATTCACACAACTAGGTGCATATTCATCTTGTAGGGTCCTGAAGAAAAATGGCAGTCTGGATGGTAAAATTGCACATAGGACATTTGGCAGATATTTCATGCGGCATTTTAATGAACACGAGGCTGAACTATTTTTCTTACCATATACAATGACAGCAGCTGTTGTACTTTTCCTCTTTGCCACAATGTTTTTGGCAACACAAGTATAATTGGCTGTGTCAGAGAGACGTGCCTGCTTTATAATCAAGTTGTGGTCTATAGTAATGTAAAAATTCCGGTCTTCTACGGGATCAATCACTTCTTCATTTTTCAGCCATTCAACCTGTTAAGAGTCACAAATAAAATTAGGAGTTATCACTAAAACCGTCAAGGCATTTTTGTTGCAGAAAGACCATGGTGGGAATCCATTAAGCCAAGTTTCAGTGGCCATAACTCCTGACTATGACAATTTGTGAAGAAAACCGTATGGCACATGATCATTTTCTCAGTGGGATGTTTTAATGTATGGAGACATCCTTTCTACCCATTCATGTGCCATCCTTACTGAGTACAAATGTATCCTGGTAGCCAATCTATGATTCCTACTGAAGAGTGAGGTATTCTTGTGTATATGTGAGAGTGAGTGTGTGATGACCTCATGTGTAAGTCAAGGAAAGGCTTGGTCCGAAATTATGGATTTTAATATGACTCATGGATACAACTAGGATCATTATGTAGAGAGGGGAAAGCACTAGTGCTGAATGAGTGAGCTAGTTATCCCCAGTTGCTGTCACCACCATTTTCTCACCCAGGCATTCAAAAAAGCCTTTCTTCACTCTGTTCAGAAAAAGGTTCCTTGTTTATTAAAGGCAAGATAGTATTAACTCTTATTAAAGAAAGAAAACAAAAGATATTTGAATAGAGTGATGAAAGGAGAGAAATAATATGTTTGGGAAGAACTTAAAGGTAGTTCCTCCTCCTACCCTACTCTTTCCACCACAACCCCACTTCTGACCTTCTTGAATGCTTAAGTGAGACAATGGTGTTCGAAGGAGCACTGAGAGAGAGCAGAGAAGGTCAGTGAGTCTTTTTAGGTTCTCCTGGAATGGGCCAAGTTCTTACCTTTCACCACTCAAATGATGGGATTGCCCCCCTCCCTCTATATATACGGTATATACAGTATATACAGTATATGAGTGAAAGTATAGTACTTACATAAACTTGTGGATCAGTTAACCCAGATTTTGAGGGCAATGATTTTACTAAAATTCCTAGACTCATACATAGGTGTATATAGTAATTTATTCATCTTTGTGAATCTTTATTTATATCTACATGCATATGTATCAGCAACATCTAGCCCTTGCAATTCTGAGAACTTCTGCATATGAGATGAGACAAGTTTCTTGGTGATCCTTGAGATGACTATTTCAAGCACTACATTGCATTTCCTGTCCTACTAAACCATTCTTTTCATTTGCTTCCCTCCTGAATCTGCTTCTTATCCTTTGTTTGCTTTGGAATTTCTGCTCCCTTATCCAGAAAACTGTGACTGTAAGGCTCTTGGGGTAAGGATATGACATTCCTGCTATTTATAAACCATCATGCATATACATGTATTAAAATGACAAAATAAATACATTGGAGTCATTTGTGATGAGGCAAGTACTCTAATGATGCAAAGGCTTAAAATGTAGTTTTGTACGCACAGGTTTCTCTCATTCAAATATTACACACAAAACATTGTCCAAGACAAAATGTGTATAGAAGCAAAAAAGAACATGTGTGAGCTACCCTTGGGTATATGTATATAGATCTTACAATCTGTGCATTATCCAGAGTCACATTTACAGGAAATTTATAGCTTCATGTATTATTCACTTATTTCATGTTTAAACAGTTTATAGAGAAACAGAGGGAAACAGTTAAGGATCTAAATATATGCTTTCTAGCCACACAATCCTCCATTCATTTCTCCTTTAAAAGAAGCACCTCATTCTCCCAGAGCTGCCTGAGGTAAGTTAGTCTAACATAACTTGGCTGAACATTGAGTAGCTTATTTGCTTTTTAACTAAGCATGCTTTGGAGGCCCAAGAGTGATCAAAGCAGTGCCTTCATGTCACAGAATGTTAGAATGAATGCCCCACACTTTAATCTAGTAAAAAACAGGGTGGGGGACACACAATATTCCCTGCACCCAGTCCGTTCTCACTACTAAGAAAGACCTGGTTTGTCCTGACAAAGATCCTTGTTAACTCTAAACCATTTGAACATCTGCCCAAGGGCACTGGAAGCCAAAGAAATTTGGTTGATATTATTTCAGTCTTATAGAAGTGACTATGATCAGTCATCCGAGCAATTGAGCTTTTCCTGTTTGGTTAGCATAAAGCTTGGTTCATTTTTAGTAGATCCAGAAAAGTAGCCATTCCTAAATGATAGGAGTGTTCCCATTCTGGCCAGTTGTTCCATTTTAGCATGTAAAATATTTTGGTGATAAATATGCATCATTTTCTACTCAGTCAGATCCATGCTATCTTATCATTCAGTATCTTATCATTTGATTAGCTTTAGCCAAATATGTAACTTATCTTCAGTGGTTGCTATTGTGCTATTGAGCGGGTGTGAGGTTATATAAAAAGTTCTGCTTGTGATCGTCTTTTTGACATGTGCAATCACTAAGAAAGGAATATTCATTCATGAACCAACTCTTGGATTTCTCTAACTCTCGTGTTAGGGCAATCAATAATGAAAGGTCAGGCACAGAGCTGGCTTCTGTGTTGATATCTGGCTGCACTTATTCAGTACATGTCAGGAACATATTGCTATGCATTCATCACCCTAATCCTTTCCTGTTGGTCGTAGTGCAAACAACACACAATCTGTACTGGTTGTATAGTGGAAGCAACAGTCATAGGTGTTGTTCTTTCACTACTGATTACATTTGTTTTCACTTTGCACTACTTCCCTGCACAACCATCAAGCTTATAACAAAACTAACTAAAATTATTTTAAAGCCAGTGCAAGTTTTTGAGATATCCAGAGCTTTTAATTAGGAAAACTGTTAGATAAAACAAGGCAGAAAGAGAAGGGAGAAGTCTGTATTTTAAGCACCATCTTTCTAAACACAAAATAACAATAATACACTGCTTTTTATCTCCCAAAGGGGACTCAAAGCAACTCAACATAAAAGCATTAGTACACAATTTAAAATATACGAATACACAAAGATTATAACAGAATTAGGTTCTTGTGGGTTTTTTCGGGCTATAGAGCCATGTTCTAGAGGCATTTCTCCTGACGTTTCGC